TCTCACTCTGTTGCCAGGTGCCAGGCTGGAGTGCAGTGGCACAATCTCGGCTCACTGCAACCTCCACCTCCCAGATTCAAGCAATTCTCCTGCCTCAGCCTCCTGAGTAGCTGGGACTACCGGCGCACGCCACCGTGCCCAGCTAATTTTTGTATTTTTAGTAGAGAACAGGCTTTCACCATGTTGGCCAGGATGGTCTGGATCTCTTGACCTCGTGATCCGCCTGCCTTGGCTTCACAGTGCTGGGATTACAGGCATGAGCCACCACGCCCAGCCTTCCCTCTCGGCTCTTACTGCTTAAGCTTAGCCTTGGCCCAGATTGGTCAAGTCCTCAGGCCTTGTTTGTGGGTGGCCAGCGCTGAATGACGACAGCTGGCCCTTGTACTTGGCTGTGAGCTTCCCTGGCTGAGGGCAGAGCCTGGCACACAGTGGAAACGTGCACTGAAGGGAACTAAATAGCCATGATGCCAACAGCTCCTGTCACCTTTCCTCTTCGCTGGGGCAGGAAAAGGGGCAGCTATGCACCCTGCTTGGTTAGTTCCCCATTTACCCGCAGAAGGTCTGCTTGAGAGATTCGTGCTGTGAGGAGCCAAGACCAGGTAGGTCCCGAAAATTCTCACCAAGCCTGAAAAGAATTGAGTCTCTCAATCAGACTTCAGAAAGCTAGGCTTTAGCGTGACGTTAAAAAGAAAAAAAAAAATGTTCCGGCAGGGCATTAGGAAAAAAATCAGGGCTACACGTCAGTTTCCCAGAGGCTGACAGATTGTTAGAACAGTCTTGGAGGTCTGGTTTCCCATATCACAAGATTGTTTGGTTGGTTAGTTTTTCTGTTCAAGCATAAGGATACAAGTGGGGGCCTCTCTTGGGCCCTTGAGAAGAAGCCTGCAGATTCCCTGGCCCTAGGATTTGAACTCCCAGGACAGAAGCACAATATGGTGAAGAAGGGGAAGAGATTTTCCCACTTTAGGAAATCACCTCAGAATCTGTTGGAGCTCAGAGGGAAGGAGAATGACTCCATGAACCCCAAAATATACTCTTCATGCCCCCATCACTACCCCAACATACACACACAGTGCTGTCCCCAGCCTCCAAGGGCTTCTCCCCACATCCCGTAGCAGGGGCATTCACACTGCAATGTGTGGGTTTCTTTTTTTTAATGAAAAAGTTTAAAGCGCTAGTATACCAGACGGCTGATGGTTTTCCTGGCTTAGAATCTCTAAAGAGCACAGCATCCATACCCACCCCTCTCCACCATCAAAACAAACAGCAATTGTGCCCACAAACAAGACTGTACTTGACAACCCATTCATACAATTGGGAGCATGGGATGCTCACCAACTGGATGATTCCATGACCCATTCCCTTTACCTATCTGTGCAGGTGGCTCAATGCCGGATGCCCAAGTATGACCCCCCAGACATACCTGCCATTTTATTTCTTCCTTCTCTGGCTACAAGTAACAACTAATTAGAACAATATGATGTCCTTTCAGACATTACACAAATATTGGTTTTGGTTCTTGACCCACTTGAATGAGTCGTGGCTGTTGCTCTAGACGGACGAGGTAGGGGAAGTAGGCTGGAATGCAAGAATTCTGCTCAGGAGCACACTGGCCTGTCTCTCTCCATCCCTCACCTGTGCTGATGCACCTCCGCCCACCCCCAGACCTCTATCCATCTAGCAAGGGAAAGAGCCCAGCACTCGAGACACACTCCCTGTCCTCTCAATTTTCAGCCCGACTCACAAGAAAGCACCCTGGCCCAGACCTGCACCCCACATGGCACCCCCTAAGGGGACTTCATACTGGGACCAGGGCTTCAAAGAAAAGACCCTGGTTTAATAATTCAACTCGCTTGAATGCCATTTAGTAGCCATGGCAACCAGTTCCCTGACATCTAGTTGTAGGCAGGATGTGGTTGGAAAGGGAAAGAGAGAAAGAGGAAAAGGTAGAGGGGAAAGGAAAAGAAAGGAACCCAGGTGAGATGTCACCTAAACTTTCCCTGCTCTCACTCCGCACCATAATCCTGACAATGAGATGCCCGTGAACCAACTGGTTTTACCTCGCTTTCTTCCCTCCCTCTCTGACTCCACTCTCTCCCCACCTGTCTCCCTCTGTCTCCTCTCTCTCCAACCCACGGGAAGCCGGAGATCTAGGCTCCTCAGTCAGCATTCCAGCTAAACACCTTTGGGACTCTAGCGAATTAGCCTTTCTTTGCTTCCATTTTCTTATCATTAAAATGAGGGGCTTGTGGATGTCTGCTCTGGTTCCTTCTGGCCCTAACA